TCGGTGGGAGATCAAACACACTATCTTGGTATCAGGAGGACACGTTAAACAACTGAGCTACCCAGCCAGGGCTGAAAATGCATTTAATGCACCTAACCTACCGAACCTCCGAGCTTGGCTTAGGCTAACTTAAATGTGCTCAGAACAGAATATAATAACAACAACAAAAATACAGGTAACACAGTACATTGTAGAGTACTGGTTGTTTACCATTGTGATCGCGTGCGCAAGTGGGAGCTCAGGTTCTCTGCTGCTGCCCAATATCACGAGAGGCTGTCATACTGTATGTACACCACTAGTCTGGGAAAAGATCCAAATTCAAAATTTCAAGTACGGTTTCCACTCAATGTGTACTCAATGTATGTTGCTTTTACACCATTGTAAAGTCAAAAAAATATTTTAAAAAATGTTTTCATTGGTTTCACAGAGGGGAAGGGAGGACTGAGAGACAGAAACATCAATAATAAGAGAGAATCACCAATCAGCTGCCTCCTGGATGCCCCCTATTGGGCTGCAGCCTGCAACCTGGGCATGTGCCCTGACTGGGAATTGAACTATGACCTCCTGGTTCATAGGTCGATCTCAACCACGGAGCCACACCAGCCGGGTAGTCAAAAAATCTCAAGTGGAATCATCATAAACCAGGGACCATCTGTCATACGTTTAAAAAAAGAGGTGCTTATAAGCAATACACCAGATAATGGCTCGTGGGTTTACAGAATCGTGTGTGTGCGCAAAAATACTAATTTTCCTCTTGTTTTTCTTCTCTTTTGTTTTCTCCAGACCACAAAGCAAATCACATAATGGTGGAGAGGCTTCAAACTAATACTATCCTTTCATAAAGGTCTGGTCACTTGGGTTGTACTGGAGATCTAGTCAAGAAGTTATAGGAAAACAACCCACCCTTTAGAAAACCCCTCATACAGGGAAGAGCAAGGAATCTAGGCCTCGCCTCTTTAAAAGGCCCCCGGGCTCCCCCTTTATGCAGAGCCAGAGATGCCAAGGCAGCCTCTGGGAGCCCTCTGGGCCACACTGCCCGAGGCAGCCCGGTTCTGGTGCTATCACCATCTGTCCGCTCAGTGGTCCCTTTCCGACAGAGCAGAATCCTGACTGCATTCTATTTGCTCTGCAGTCCTGGTTAGAACAGTTCCTTTCCCACGTCCACCTGATATAATAAACATTTTAAGTAAAACACATACATATGAGGGCAGGGTAATTGCTCTTACTGACTTCTGATCTAGGGGATCCTGTCCATTTTATTAGTTTTGACTTTCCTTCCCTTAAAGCTCAGAGTAGCTAGCAGTCAGCAATCGAGGGGCTCCTGTTTATATGCTTCCTGCCGGTTTTCCACTGGGAGAAAGACACCAGGAGGAAAGGGGGGAAATGAGGAGAAGGAGCAATGGCTTCACTTATTTTGCTGGAACTTCACCCTCTGAGTTTGGACACATCCTTGGCGACCGACTCCTGAAGGTCTGCTCTGTCCTGCATTTGCAGGAGAAAAAAGTCTAACTTAAAGACTAGAGCCCAGAAAGGCGAATGGGAGGTTGCTGAATCAATAAAATATACACAGGGCAAATGGTCAGCAATCTGCACTATTTCCTCAGACAACTGAGAAAAAGAAACAAAATTCAGTGACACTTTTGTTCTAAAGACTCACATCTAAAGATTCTGCTTTTTCTCGTGTTTTCAGAAACACTCCAGACATGTCGAATAAACTCTCCTGAACTTTAAAAAGAGAAAAAGATTGGGTATGAATGTTTGGGAGTGAAAGTGCAGGAATGGGAGTAACTCAGGGGGAAAAAAAGAGTATTAAGTTTAGAGCAGTTATCGTTATTCTCTGCCTTTTCCCCACTCCCTCCATTCCCCGGAAGGCGGGGTTCATAGTGAGACACTTCTCCTGGGAAGGTATATTCATTCCACTCCCAGCCCTACTCTACTAAAAATCACTGATTTAAAAGCTATGGTTTTAAAAAGGACTTTCAGTTTAAAACACCGCTATGATCACATGTTAACATCTATGTGTAAAAATTATGTGTTAATGAGAACAATTTTTTATGTAATCAATAGGTAATATCATTGCAAGTGAAAAACTATTGGAAATACCACTGTATACATCTTTTAAAGTAAAAAAAAAAAAAAAAATCCTAATGAAACCTTGTGATGTGATTTCTATTGGTTGTATTATAAATTGACACCAAGCAAGAGTCTAAAGAGGATTCTACTCTGACCAATAATTTTACTAACAAAAAATTATCCTAAGGAAGTTATTCAAGAGAAAGAAAGTAGATATAAATAAGGACTATCATAGAATCACTTAAAAGCAAAACAAAAAAACAATCTAAACATCCTATGACAAGCATCCACTATGCACATTTCTGTGTTCATGCTCATCACATATTAATGGTTTGTTCGACAACTATCTTCCCACTAGAGCATAAGCTCAGTGAGTTTAGGGGTTGTCTATGTCTAGATCCTTGGCACATAATAAATGTAGGATGCAGGATTTAAGAACAGATATTGAAATATTTGTAATATGATTTTAAGCAAAAATAACTATGTGTGTGTGTGTGTGTGTGTGTCTGCTAGAACTGAAACTCTGTATGTATATACACATGAAAATGACTGTACAAAAATGAAAGTAGTTGTATTAGGATGAGGAATCATTAGATAGCTTTTAAATTACTTCAAATATTCTTTAAGGTTGTTGTTTTAGTGCCTCTGAAAAGTAAAAAGAAGGAACATATTTGCTGTTTTGTATACTCAACACAACTTCATAGAAATGAAATGGCAATTATAAAAGCTTGAAGAGTCACTTCAGCTCACCCACAGGGACCCAGGTATCCATTTTTTGCTCAAGGATAGAAAGACACAAAATACTCATATATCATAGCTAGCATAACCCTATTTTTAGTAAAATCCTGGAACAAAGGCAATATGTTTTAAAGAGACAGGTGGGAAAGTCCTCTAAAGCACTTTTGAAGAGTGAATTTGCTGGTTACTAACAGCAGGGGGTGCCAAAGGGATCGCTATTGTTCCCAGGAGATGGCCAGGAGGACTGTCTTTATCCACCTTGGCTAAAAAGCTTAAGCTGTGCTGAAAAAATACTGTTGGTTTCCCCCTAACAATGGGGACCTATGGGTAAGAGTCAGGTGCTCCGTAGGCTTGAATGAATAAAAATTACATTTTTATTTTCACTAGCTATTTGACATTTCCTTGCATTAGAGTCAACAAATCAGAGTTTTTAGTGCTGGCGAGTCGTCATGAACAGAAATCATAGATTTAATGATAGCACACTCAAGTTGGTGCAGATGTCTCCAATATTACACTCAATCACTCCTTTGAAACCAAATTTCAGGAGTTACTGGATCTTGTTACTCAATGTATCAACACCATCCATATTACTATTCTATCACAGATTTAACAGTTGATAACTTTAAATACAAGAAATCCTTGTGTAGTCATGTGAATGTTACTTTCTGCATTTACAAACACTTCTCTGAGAAGGGCTCTCATAGGCTGTACCAGACTGCCAAAGGCACAGGATCCTTAGAATCAGGTTTACAACATGCTGCTAATGAACAGGTTCTGATAACCAAGTGGGACCACATAAGAATCCGAAGCAAAGCATAACTTTTAATAAATAAAAGAAGTGATATGCCCTTTGCAGAAGTGATGAAAGGAGAGTGCTAGGTCAAAAGAAGGAAAATGACACCCAAATCAAAGAAAAGGAAGACTTTCATAGATCCTCCTCCAGAGAGCCATGAAGTAATGCACATAACATCTGACACCAGTCAGAGACTGCCCGTTGGGTCTGAACAAGCTGATGAACAAAATTTGGAAAATGAGAAAACTAAGCCAGACTTTTATCCAAAGAGGTTTAATTCTTTATCTCAGATATATTCACATAACGTACACGATCCTTCCCATAACAGTACTCATGAGGGTTCAAGACTGCGTATTTCTTCTAGTAAAAATTTGATTTAAAAAAATGTCCTGGAGAGCTCACCAGTCTCTGCAGTGAGTGATGAGCAGGAGGAGATGACAGGGATGACGTTTCAAGTCACCCAGAGAACACACAAGCCAGGAGCATGTGGCAGAACACTACAGGACCTGACAAATACCAAATTTGTTTCAAATAACACTGCTACATCTGAAAACAAGTCAGAAGATCTTAGTTTAGAGCTGTCAAAACGAAGAAGGTGCGCTCCTCTCAATTTGAAAGAGCCAAGTCTCAAAGACAAAAATGAAAAGATAAGGTGAATTTATGAATTCTGGTTTTTCTGAATTCTGAAACCATAACGAGTCAAAATGGATATAATTAGAAGAGGGAAATACATGAAGTTTTTTTTCCTTTCATTTTCTGCCTTTTCATGGAGTATTGATTTATCCATTTTTGTTTATATATTGCATAATATATCTGTTTTGTAATATTAAATTGTATTATAAAATTTAAAATATTTTTTGTTATTCTATAATTTATATTCCTGCTCATTCAACTTTTTCAATGTTAATAGATTTAACTAAACAATAGCTGTTAAGTTTTTAACTAATAAAATGCATAATAAATAAGAAAATAAATAAAGGAAGACCACCAAGAGGAAACATCGAAATGGATCTGAACAAAGTTGGTGAGAAAAGGCAGTATGTTAAGTCACAAGAGAGAAGTGGCTGGGATGCACATTTTCATTCAGTTGGAAGAGAATTTTTGCTTCACAGGCTCTGAAGTGCCCCAACCTGTCCAGAGGCCCAGCTCATGGGTGGGACATTCAGAGATCGATGTAATACAATTTGCTACTACAAAGCAGTCTGTATTTAATGTAGGTGCAGAGGCATGAAATACAATGTGAATGTTATCCCCAACATCTCTTTGGAAGTAATCATTACATGTGGACTCTCCAGATACCAAATATTCATTTCATGAACAAAATCAAAATCAAATCCAAAATTACACCAAAGGCAGAGATGAGATACTGAGATTAAGCAACAGAGTCAATACTCACATTCGAACAAAGAGTGACTCTTTGGATGTCAGACCAGGAGATGAGTACTTTTCAACCAGGGCCAAAGTACTGAAGCCAAACTTATGAATGGGCTCATTGGAATCCAGTGGGGGGAAATCTGTGTCAACCTCCCCATCATCCTCAGCAATGTGCAGGCAGTAGGCATTGACATTGTCACTGAAAGGAAAACCAAAAAAATGAGTGAAAACCAAACAGAAAAAGGAACTCGGCGACCAGAGGCCCTGATGTGCAGCAAGCAGGCTTGGGAAACTGCTGTCCTTCACCCCAAGGCCTGCAGTTATATTTGGATCCCCCAAGTCCCACTTCATTTGATAAGGAGAAAATACACGGCAGTGCAGAGGGGGAAAACCAATGTGAAACAAGAGCCTTCACACTCCTCTGTTCTTCCAACAAATACTTACTGAGCACTTGTTGTAAATAAGACACAGAACCCTTTAGATCAAAGATGAGATTTAGCAACGGTCCTCAAGGAAGCTTACAATTCAGCAGGTGGAAAAAGTAAACACTATATTAGTTATAAAATAATTGTAAATATCATGAAAGAGATTCACAGAACTATAAGAGAGAAAATGATCTGGGGGAAATCGGTGGACTTTGATTTATGGTCAGGATTAAGAAAATATCTGCTCTAGCTCAAGAAGTAACAAAGACAATCAATACAGTTCTCCCTTCTCTGAAGAAAATCAGCCTCACTTGGCAGGACCTGATTCCAAACACCAAGGGTACTTAATGGAGTAAAGCAAATGACCTGATTTATCCTGACCAACTGCTTATGGACTTTTCTCACTTCCCTAGAATGTTCAGTCAGTGATCCCAGTTTCCAGCCTCTCCCAGTTTGTAATCAACATGCATCTCTTTCTCCTTCTTTGGGGAATTAAAAAGTCTATTTTGCTGGAAAAGGTTGGGAAACTCTTATCAACATAAAGACAATTTAAAACTGAAACCAACTTAAAACACTTTAGATACTTTATATATTGTATAACTGCAAATCTGTTTGTGAAATTGCAAATCTGTTAGTGTTCAGAAGCATGAACCTAATAGTTCAAAAGCAGTGGGTTTCTAAATTCTGCAGCTTAAATTTGGAGTTTTAATTATATGATTGATGCTTAAATTAATTAATTGCAAAGTGTATGCTAATTGTTTAATTGGTTGCTTGATCTATATAGATCATTTTTTGAATTAAATGAGTTGATTTACAAAGTTTATTGATTGGATGTGACAATGAATTATTTCACTGACTACCTGATTTGCAATTTTCCCAATTAATTCACAAATCTTTTGCCGCAATTCTGCTTACTGAGAGAGAGCCTACTTCAGGTGATCTATACTCAGTCTGTCACGATTAAGAGATATTTATTATATAAAACAGGTAATAAGGACAGATTAAAATTAATGGGAACTGTAAATCTGCTAAATGGATGGATAACAAGAAAGTAATCTGGCTATGTTTGTCACTATAAATTTCATGTATTTGCAATGCTGTTAATTTAAAATTCATCTCTGAATGGTATGGGAAACTTACAGATCTTTGCAAGAGGTTATTAACACACAAAAAACATGTGCAGAAGCAGAAGAAAGCCGTTTAGATGAATAAAATGTTCTGGTGGAGGACCTATGAGCTTTGTGTCCAGGAAGACTTGAATTCAACCCTAACTCCATCACTCAGAGAATAAGCTTCCTTGAGTTTCAGTTTCAACTTCTATGAAAAGGATATAATCGCCTAACTCAGGGGTGGTTGTGAGGATTAGATGAGATAATATATTAGTGCTGAGCATAGAACAGAGTTTAAAAAAAAAAAAGGCATGATAACTATACAAAGTCAGATGGAAAATAACTTTGACAGTTATATCAATCCTTAAAGATAAACTGTGTGGGTGCACATTAGCCAGAAAACAATAATGAAACTGAGTTCTATGAGCACACATCTGTAGCTGGAGTTAACATGTCCACTGTGCTCCAGCCTTGGGGCCACTGAGCCTCCGGGGTTTTATGACCACGGCAGACAATGATGAAGCAAGCAGTGGACAGCACAGATTATTTATGGCCGTGTAAATTATCCTGAGGAATGCCTGTGATTCCCCAGCATCGCAGAGGTTTCAAGGGCAAATAATAATACTATTGATCAAAGCAGAAAGCCAAGCACTGGTATCAGAAGAATTCTGCTTTGATTGTCATGGGAGGCCCCACAAATCCCCTCAAAACAAACTCAACAAATGTCACAGGCTGAGATCTGAGAACCAAAGACTCCCAGCCTAGTGCTGTTATTCTCCCCAGTTCTGAATACAAGGTGTGAAATCACTTATTGTTTCAAAAAAACATTTGCATAGTGCCTGCCCCGTGCTGCTGCATGACCCAGCAAGGAAAAAATGAATGACTCACTCTGTATTATATACAACTACAGGAAGTCTTTCCTGGTATACCAGTAAAGTTTAGCAGAAAACAGTGCTCCATCCCCTAAAACCTCTTAATTGAATGCCTAAGGGAGAAAAAAAAAAAGACTGAAATTCCATATTTTGCGAATGGACATATTGGTTCTTTCTGCCTTTATACAGGAATGATTAATGAAAAAGCTACCGTGGTATTTTGACTTCTAAAACTGCTTCAAGACTCCAAATTAGTAATCCTATATAATAAAAGCGTAATATGCAAATGGACCGGCAGAACGACCAGAATGACCGCTGGACCAGTCACTATGAGGCGCACTCACTGACCACCTCCTGGCCTCTCTCCCTGGCCGGCAGGCTCCAACTGCCTGATGGCCACCCATGGTGGGGGGGGAACTGCCGAGCTCTCGGTCCCTTCACCTGGCCAGGAGACACCAATCAGCCAACGGCGAACGGGGAACCGGGGGTGGGTGGCATCAGGGGGCGGGGCTGGCTGTGGGCACCTGGGGAAGATGGCCCTGATCACAGGCCAGGCCTAGAAACCATACCTGGGCACAAATTTCATGTGCCAGGACTCCAGTAGTACAATGACCATTAGTATCATTAGCTATATTTATTGTGGGCTAGGTGCCAGGTATTGTGCACGGTGGGTTAGACACATAAGATCAATGAATCTTCACATCATCTAAGTCACATTATTAAGTGTGTTTTCTTACAGATTAGAAAACAGAGGCTCAGTGAGGTAAATGGTTTAAGATTAAACAGCATGTAAGCGACAGAGCTGAGACTCAAACCCAAGTAGTCAAGAACCCTCCCTCCTGACCCCCACCCATTTCTCTGCCAAAGCCATGGCGCGCTCCTATGGAAATGCTACATACTTTGAAAGGAGGAAACCATGTGCATTATAAAAAAAAAACACCCCAGAAGTTTAGAGACATTTATTGCAACCTCCTTGCTGTTACAGCTGGGAAATAGATGCTAGAAGAGAGGAATGACATGGTCGGGATCGCCCAATTAAACAGGCCAACGCCAGGTCTAGAGAACTCTGGCTCCTTGCTTCCGTTCCATTTCCCTTTGATCAAATCAGAAACTGGTGGCATTTTGAAGTGGGGAGGGAGGAGGGGAGGGGGCCACTGTGGTCCCTGACTCAGGAATTCACCAAATATAGACATCTGGAACTTATAAAACAGTGAAAACGGGCGCCTCCTTATGACACAGTTCAGTGGAATGAAGGGAGGTTTTGCAGTCAGATCTGGTTTTAATGCTAACTCAACCTTTAACCAGCTTGTGACCGAATCTCTCTGAGCTCCATTTTCTCATCTATAAGAAGCTTTCGTTGATTTCTCTAGGATAGGGGTGTCGAACTCAATCAGAGAAGGGGCCAAAATCTAAAATCCAGCCTAAATCGCGGGCCGAATGGTTTACTGAACAGTCATAAACTGTCATTGTGATGGAAACGCAGCGGAGTGCAGTGATGACAGCGCGGTGCGGGCCACATTGCAAGGCCAGGTGGGACGGATTTGGCCCGCGGGCCTTGTGTTTGACACATGTGCTCTAGGAGAATCATTTGGAAAGTGATTCTCCTCTGTGGCCTTCCAGAACTTGGTTGACATTTCTGTATGTAACATTGTTCCTTTACTGTTTATGCATCTATGTTCTCCTAATGAGCGGGATCCTATTGTCTCTGCGTCCTCACTGAAGAGTAAGTGGCCAGCATTTAGAAAGTACTTAACAAATACTTGTTGAGTGAATGAATATATGAATGTGTAGACTGAATCACTGTACCCATAAAAAAACCATAATGGGTATTATTATTTTTTTATTCTCACCCAAGGATATGCTTTTTAAATTGATTTTATTGAGAAAAGGAGAGACATCCACGTGTGAGAGAAACATTGATCAGACTAAAAGGCAGAAGACGAAACTCAGGCTGCCCCTCCTCCTCTTCCTCCTCACACACTAAAAAACGACAAAACTCAGTCTTCCAATGCTCCCTAGATCCGTGAAGGGCACAACATAGTACAAAGTTGTGCAAGTCAGAAACCTTTGATACGTCTTGTTTCCCACACTTCCATATCTAACTCATTCCTAAGCCATGTGAATTTTTCTTAGATTTCCAGAATCTCTCCCTTTCTCTCAATCTCTACTGTGGCCCTGCCCACCTCTCGGTCTCTTTCCACTCCATCTTCTCTTCCCTTCTTTGTGCTCTGGCTGCACTGGCCTTTAGTTCCCTGACCACAACATGCTTCCTCCTGCCGCAGCATCCCTGCCCGGTGGTTCCATCTGCCAGGACCTTCCCCTCCACATGCCTCTGATATCATTTTCTCGGGGAATTTCTCCCTAACGCAACTCCCAGGCTAGACTCTTTATAAACAGCATTCCTTCCCTTTCGAGCACTTAGCTCAGTTTTTAAGAAAACCTTATTTGGTTTAACTTTTTAAATTTTCTGCCCATTTCCTTTACTAAACTGTGGAACTCATGACAGAGAGTCCACATATGGTTCCATGAACCACTCTATACTCAGCAAAGTGCCTGGTATATAGCAAACACTCAATAAATATTTATTGTATACAATAAGTGAAATGAGCCAGTTACAAAGTGCTAATACATTTGATAACTTCTTTTTCCCCACGAAACTATGAATTTATAGGGGGAATAATGAGATTTCTCTTGTACATTTTAGACCCTAGAACTCCATAAATATTTGCTGAATGAAGGAATGACTGAGGAGTTAAGCCTTCGAGATTAAGCAGGATATCAAGAAGAATGAGA